AAGAATTGCAGTCGTTGTTACATAATGAAGTTTGATCATTTTGATCGCTCAATCAATTGTACTTAAGGCGGTGTCAGTCGTCGGATGGATCTGGCGCAAAATTGTTAGTTTCGTAGATCTAGGGATAATTCTTCCAATGCCTAAGTCAAACAATGTATTATTTACTTACCAAAATTTATATTTTTAGTCGCCAACAGATTACTACAATTTCCTTTTTAATAAAATAAATGGGGATTCTTTTTGTTTTGAACATTTGATTTATTTTTACGATTTTTTAATTGGGGGATTTTTCATATTCGGTTGTAATTTAATTTTCTTGTCATCGTTACAATGCGGTTTGCTGTGTGTTTTCTGTTTCTTTGTTGTTCTTTTTTTTCATTTCTCATTTTATTTTCATTTGTTTGTTTAATATTAAATATTAAGAAAAAATTAACATAATTTTTTTAAATAGTATACTAATTACGTAATAATTAATTAATTGATAGTGGTTTTATGTGTTGGTGTCTGCGTATGTGGGCTTTTGATATACATTACAATAATTATTTAAATATTTATTTGAATACAAAAATATTAAAATAATAAAATTATCTGATAATAAATATTACAAGCTAACTGTTATAATGGAAATCCGCTAAATGTAAATTTTGAAAACAAAATATATTTACTTTTTTTCTCATCATGAATGAATTTGTTTATTTTCTGAACAAAATTAAATTAGAATAATTATGTATTTTGGCATTTATTATGAAATGCCTACATAGTATTTAATGAACATTAAATAAATATTATTATAAATAAAATAACAAACATACGTACATAAATATATACCAAAAATATTGTAGAACTTAATATATTTGAAGAAAAAAAAGAGAGGCAAATGCAAAATGTTTATTTTTCTTTGCTCTGGGAGCTGCTTATGTGATGTGTAAAATTTCGAAATTTAATTATTTTTTTCAATGAGAAATGGGAGAGAGAAATTTAACTTCATGAATTTTTTGAAGTAATTTATAACGCAGGATACAACAGAATAAATATGGAATTTTACGGAATAATTTAAGGGAGGCTTTCTCAATAATTTCTTCCCACATTTTCTTAAGAAGAATGTGACTTTGTGTCACCTTTCAATCAAAGAAATCCTCCAAACAGAATGCTGGTCCTAAACATCGCTTTTAACAGAGCTGGACCAAGAGGCCTTAATATAGATTCGGTAAAAAAAAGAAAGAATCTAAGAACAAGATACAAATTATTCTATAGATAGATTTGTATCTTGTTCTTTTGCTTGTCCCATTGTGGTTTTAGATTCCATTATAAAAGGCCTATATTGAAAATATTCTGTCAGGAGGTAGTTAATCTTCCGAAAAACCAAAGTTTATTCACAGGTCATCAATATAGGCGAATACATTATTCTATTCTTTCTAAGTCGGCTGCTTTTGTCTTCGAAGTCGAGCTAAATCTCTTAGGAAACACATCGAAGCAAATGCTCGCCTGCTTCTTCGGGAACTGATCTGATTACGTGACTACTGTTCCGCTTGAGTGACGTATTCACTTCTGAGTGTTACACCATATTTTGTTTGCCTAAAGTCTTCGGAGAAATTTAAAAGCGAAAATTTTGTATCATGTCAATGCGAGCTCTCGCACATAAGGCCTATCCAGCGCCTCTTTGAACGGCTTAAACGTGGAATTGATGGATCATTGATGAGCTCAATTTCAAACTGCAATTTTTCACTTTGATATTCTAACCTATTAAAATTGAACAATTTCTTAAAATTGAACAAAATAAATCGTTTTAAAATACATTATATTTCCAAATTTCGAGAAGGTTTTCTTTTGTTCTGTACCATATCTAGTTTGAGTTTAGGTTTGAGAGCCTATCGTTCTCAGTAGAAGCCTAAGAAAATTAATGTTTTTCATATTTGCATTGATGGAACCAATCAACACTATTGGCGACCTATGTTAGAAAAGAAGATTATCTTGAAGGCAAACTAGATTTTGATATAAGATATTCCCTCCACGATTTTTTTTTGCCAAGCAAATCTATTAATGTGTTAAGGTCACCAATTGTAGTTCTGATAAACTACATTTTCAGGTCTTCGAACCAATGCAGATGTTTCGTCCGCCAAAAGTGGTAGGAACAAATCGATTTCAATGGGTTTTGTTTGAAATATACCGTTGACCGCATTACTCAAAATTGAGCGGAAGTTATAATTAGTAACCATACGTTATATACCGGCTGAGCCGTTATTTGGGTGTAATGGAAATATATCGAATATTTTTTGCGGAACCCGAACTAGTAAATAACTGCTACTTTTGTTGGAAAATATTGTTCAAACCTTTCAGCTTGTCAACCGAGTGCGTCAATAATCAGTTAAAACATTGAAGCAACGAAGAACATTATTTTTGGGCAATCATACAATCGCTATATGAGAGGTTGCTGATGGTATCAGCTTATGTCAAGCTATTTTTATACCCTACACAACTATGTTGTCAGGGTGTTATAGCTTTGTGCAGCCCCAAGCGTTTGCAACGCAGCCGTCCGTCCGTCTGTCCATAATAATGTGTAAATACGGTACAGACCACATTTTGCATGTAGGATGGGTTCTGGCCAATGAAGACCCTATTGTTTTTGGTAAAGATCGGTTCATATTTAGGGGATGAAATTTACCAAATACTATGGCCCGAACATCGCGAAATTTTAAATGGAGAAGGGGATCGGGCCAGCGAATAAGCATGCCTGTTATTGATACCAATGATACCAATTATATTGCCGTATGTACTCGGATGTGGAAGTCAAACTTAAATATTTAACTGTGCTTATGTATTCAGATATTATTTAGTAATCCATTAACATTAGATGGCAGAAATAAACCGCTGATCGCTTTAAAATTTTCCAAGAGGTCTCAGTTATAGTCAAGGACAACGCAGCCTATAATTTTCGGTGATTATCACATAAAAAATTTGGGATGCAGTGGACCTAAAACTTGATCTATATTCCGCAAGCCAAACATCACAACACAACCCACGGTGAAGGGAACCTCGATAAGTAATTAGCAGGGCTGTTATGAATATTGGGAATATTCGGAAAAAATTTCAGTGTAAGGAAGAGGTGCTGTCGATCTCTAATCAGTCAAGGGGGTGCAAATATCACGAAATATTGTCCAGGCTCAAAATAAACATCCGGAGAAAGTAAGAGTTCCGTGGAAGTTGTGAAGGATATCGTTTGTTCGGTCCCGTCCGCCTATACGGCTCCCCTCACTGGTTCACAAACTGTTTCGGCATAAAGCGTGAATTCTTGTCACAAGTAAAGAAACAATAGCCATACTTAGTAGAGAGTAAAAACCGACTTACAGACTTTTGACCCTGATCAAACAGTTAACTTTTCGAACTTATGATATTGTCAAATATGTTAAAAACGATTTTCGACCTCTATATTTTCCAGATTTGCTCCCTATTGATTTGTTTCTGTTCCCAAAGCCGAAGAAACCGGTGATAGGAAAGCGTTTTGCTACCATTGAGAAGATTATAGAAAAATCGAAATATGATTTGCTTCGTGACTTGGAAAAATTATATCATAGGGAGATTACTTTGAAAGGGACAAGGTGAATAACAAATAAAATAATGTTTATTTTGATTAGACTTCGTATTCTTCAAATATGGCGCCCAGCGACCATTATTATGTTCACTGGGATGAAGAAATTATAGTCAAATGAGAAACCTTTTGGAAAAGAATAAAATAACCTTTTGGAAAAGAATAAAATAATAAATTGTTATCAAATGAGAAACATGGATCTAAACCAAAATTTTTTGAACAAATTTAAAATAACGGTTGTTTTTATTAGACCTCGTATTCTTCAAATTTGGCGCCCAACGATTATTTTGTAAAATTAATTTTCGAAGTGACCCAGAAAAATCAAAGGTAAGTGATCCAGGGACTCCAACTTCTAAAGAATGTTCGCTGGGAAAAAATTTAATGAAATAAGAAACTGGTTTCCATTTTGAAGTATAGACAAACTGACTACGAAAATGTTATCTAAAAGTTGGAGGGTAGCTATAATCTGTGTATCACCCTTGAAAAAGTTTATGTCGAATAAAAAGTTAGCTACAATTCCTATTTCCGACAAACTACAATTTAAAGTCCAGTCCACGAATCTCAATCTTTTTGGACTCAGCTTTGGAAATCATAATCTCTTCTCCCATTTACGTACAACGTATTTTTTGACAAAATTTATAAAAACCGAGGAGATATTTTTACCACATCTAATTCTATTGTTTTTTGTTGCCATTATTATTATTAACTGTAATTATTTTTTCAATTGTAATAATTATTTAAATTCTCTTTTTTGGTTTGCTGTAAGTCTGACAACCAGCCCCTGAATGGGACTATATAAATTGACAGATATTTTTGTTTTAATTTTCCGGGGAGGAGTATTGCAAATAATGAAATGAAATATTAAGAAAAAATGGGAATTTCAAACTTTTGAGAAGGCATTTAAAATCGATTTACCTAGCATATAACATAATTTCGAAGAAAATTTCTAATGTTCAGTGGTTTTTAGAAACTGTGTAACCTGTTAAATACAAGTTGATGTAAAATTTTTAAGAATTTAATTTAATTGGATTTTGATTTCCTTAATATTTCGCTCATTATATTTTGAATACTCCTCAGTTCTTAGTTTTATTGTTTTGTTTTGGGGGTGTGGGTGTTAGTTTCTATTACGGGAACCACATTTTTAATTATTTTTTTTCTTCCTTACTTTCCATCATATTGAAATAATTTTTTTCATTAAATATTAATTTGAGTTAAAAATTCTTAATTGTTGTTGTTTTTTTAATGTTCTAAGATCATTAATTGTGTGGGTGTATTTCCATCAGATTTTTTTATTTGTATTAATTTATGTTTTTTAAGTAAGTTAATCCTTTTTTATTACTTAGAGCGAATCGACGGGGGGTCAATGTTTTTTCTGGGGGCGGGGATGTTTTCCTTTAATTGTAATTCTAATTAATAATAATAATAGTAGTAGTAGTTGTTGTAGTAATTTGACTAGCACATGTACTTCTTTTTGGGTTTCATCATGCGAATACGTCATTTGGAGCCAATACCATTGGCTACCAATGAACTCGGTTGCGGTGCCGACGATGCACTGCTGGTGGCTTGACTTGATTGCGCTGGTCCATGTCCGGTTGTCTGTACGGGTGTGGGTGGTGAACGGGTGACGGCACCGCGTATTGTCGCCGACAGGGGTATAACTTGTGATGGGTGTTTGGTGGAGAGATCTGTTGTTCGGGTGGTGCCGCAAATCTTAAAGAATTAGAGAAGAAAATAAAAAAATAAGGGATTAGTTAATTAGTTAGTGCCAGCCTAAAAACCGATAGTTTCCCGGTTCGAATCACAACGAATGAAGAACAATTATTTCAAGGTGATTTTAGAAAGTTTATGTAGAAGAGGACTCCAGTGATGTCAATCCCAAGCCCCTGAAATTTTACTAAACAACCTCGACATCAATATCAACACATGAGTATAACACAAAAGAGGAATGCCCGGAGAGAGCGCCATCCCGATGAAAATGACAGCACTAAATGAGCAAGGACCCCAACCACTGCACAGAAATTTGAGCAGGCGTAGTTTCTAAGCAACGGTAGATGGCAGACCCACCACCTGGAACAAATTACAGCAGTAACTAGTATACATTGATTTTTTTTTTTTTAAATTGAATAGAATAGCGATGCTTTGTGGCAGGAGTAAAAGGAGAAATTGTTTCCTGTGAATCCGAAATATAAAATTAAAGCCACATGTGATTATAATTGCAGTGAAAACCTTCTATGTACCCTGTTCTTTACTAAGTCCGAATGCTTAATGAAAATCGAGCTAGTCCATGATATATTCCATTGCAGCCTCTAAGCCATTAAATTTGAGGTACAGCTCAAGACGTTGTCAGAATACATCTCTCATGAAATATGTTTGAGAATTCACTTACCTGATGATGATGTTCCCAATCCTTATGCTGGCAGAAAGCACCACAATATCTGGCTAAATTACAACCGGAACAGGTTTCTGTTGCCTTGCGCCCACAATTCCAACAAGCCTATAGAAGAAAATAATAATTTTTATTTATTATTTTATCATTTTAGAATTTCCACAGTTATATTTGAGGAGACCAGTTTAAAGGAACTTACATTTTGACTAGCACCTATGGAGGGTGATTTGTTGTCCAATTCACGTTCACTGCCGGAATGTCGACTCATTTCCACAAAGAATTTTTCCATGCGCAAACGTTCTTGGGCCATGACCTCAGCTGCTCGCGTCTCGGCAGCTACCACGGCTCTTTGAATTTCAATAACAGCTTGGCGTTTGACCTAAAATAAATAAATTCCAATGATTATTAATTAATATTTTAAATTTCTGGAGTTCTTCCCTCTCTTCTCGAGACTACTCACTTGATTGACAGCATCTTCAGCATTCCGTTTAAATTCGGCCACCTTTTCCTCAGTTTGACGCCTAATTTCCATTAGAGTGGCTGGTGTAACTTCTCCATAACTGGGCTGTTGTGGTTCCACTCCCCGTTGCTGCAGAATAGTTATGGCTCGTTTTGTTTTATCCACCATGGCGGAAATACAATTCAACATAGTGTGGATATTTTTCCATTCTTCCTCACCCTGCATCGGTCCACTGCCGCCCGGTGCTCCTCCACCCGGACCACTACTAGCTGCTGGCATTACGTTGCGAGCCAACGGCCGATGAGCTGGTGGTTCTTGCGGCACCGATGAGCGTATATCTCGATCGTCTCGATGACTTGCCTTCTCCATTAAATTATTAAAGGAACCTTCGGATTGGGCGGCGGCCACACCAGTGGCGGAATAATCAAAAATGGTGGGTTGTGCCGAGGCAAAGGGTATACGAGATTCTGGCGCCGGTGCATGTGGATTATGGGCATGCAAACGTTTCGGTGGTGGATATGCGGCCATATAATCACTCCACTCTTGGGCGCCATTGTGACCATGTGGTTCCATTAGAGTATCGGAAGGTCTTCGTTTGAATACCAAACTAGTGGCACCGGCGCCACTGCCGTTCGATTGACCATCGAGTTGGACAAAAATGTCACTGTATTCAGCCGGTGGACCGTGGGGAGAGAATTCCATGACGGTACTTTCATTGCTGGTTACATATTGGAGAGTGGTCTAAATTTTAAAAATAAAAATACCATTAAAACAAATCCCTAAATGAGAAGCTGTGTTCGTTGATCTTACCTGATTGGTGGCTCTTGCCAGGGCAGCAATTTCTCTTTGCAACAGAGAAATGTGATTTTTCAGTAGTGGAATGACATAGGGTCTCAGCGGCAAATTAATAGCCTCCTGCAGGGCCATGCGAAACTCATCGATACTAATGCCTCCACTGGCCAAGGATATTACCAAGGCCCTCACTCGATCACTCACCTCGGGATGAACATCTTGGGCCAACTGTACCAGAGAGCCAAGGAATTTACGTATTTTACCCAAAAGGCGGGCCTGTTCAACGTGAGCTGCTGCCGCCGCTGCAGCTGCTACAGCAGCCTGTGTAGTTTGTGCGTTTGCTGCTGCCTGGCTTTGTTGTGGTGGTGGTGGCGGTGTTGTTGTTGCTCCATTTATAACCGGCGATGCACTGGCATTACGATTCGGTCGTGGCGGTGGAGCTAAACTGGAGTGATGTTGATGCAGCTGTGGAGACATTGGTGAACGTGGAGCTACAGCTCTGGCAGATTCCGGTGAATCGGGTGTACGACAAGATCGTGAATTAGATGATGATCCGCCGTTGGGATTTGTGCCGGAATTGGAATTGCTACCGTTTGAATTGGTGGTAATGGTGGAATCTTTACTGCTGCTGGAAGAGTTTGATGTGGCTGAAAAAAGGGAGTGGGAAGAGAAAAGATAAAATAGGTAATAAGATAAAATGTACTGTATAAAAAGAAACATTAGAATAATCGTTTGGAAATGAGATTACGTAAAATGAGACTTTACTTCGACGTAGCGTCCACGTAACATGGGTAACGCAAATAATATATTTGCGTTATTTGCAAGGTTTGGGTAATCTAGATAAAGTGCCTACATTACTAAGATAGCATTTGTAATGTATGTACGTTACTTGGATGACATAGATAATATGTTATCTTGGATAACGTAGATGATGTATACAAGTTATTTGGATAACGTTGATAATGTATCTACGTTACATGGATAAGGTAGATAATGTATCTCCGTTACTAGGATAACGTAGATAATGTATCTACGTTACTCCGATAATGTAGATAATGTATCTACGTTAGTTGGATAACTTAGATCATGTGTCTAAGTTACTTGGATAACATAGATAATGTATCCACGTTACCAGGATAACGTAGATAATGTATCTACGCTGCTAGGTTGACGTAGATAATCTTTCTACGTTACTTGGACAATCTAGATAATGTATCTACCTAATTCTAAAAAAAATATTCTGATAATGTGGATGCAATATCTATATTAAAATTTATAAGGTACCAGTCTTACATGGATAATGTAGATAAATTATCTATCTACTTTCATAAGGTAGATAATGTACCTAAATTACCTGGATAACATATATAATGTATATATGTTGATTGGATATTGTAGATAAATTATCTGGGTTGCTTCTATAAAGTAGATAATGTATCTAATTGTCTACAAACGTCTTAAATATTCAGAGAAACTTTAAAAGCAGCGTTGTCGGATTAACTGTCTAAGCATTTACAGTGTTTTATTACCTGTAAGCCGTTCGTCGATATCTTTAGAAACGTGGTAAGAAATTCCTGACCTTCGTTAAATATATCTTCAAAATCACAGTAGTAATGCGAAAACCTCAAAATTTCTGAAATTCGCATTCGAAATTTTGAAATTTTCTTAGTGGAACCTCTGAACATCTCCCGACCCACTACAACAATCGGAACTAGTATCTCAATTACATCCATGTCATTGGAAACATATTTTCATGTAATTGAAAAAAATAAAAATTTTCTTCGAAAAAAGACAACAACAAAAATAAATGTTGTGTTGGCGACAACATGTAACAATGGACAGGAACAACAACAACATGAAATTGCATTCAATGGCAACAACTGCTGTTGCTGCTGATCATGATGCCACTGCAGCATTCATCGTAAGGCAATTTGTACAAAATGTTGCTAATTTATATGCCATGTTTCTTGTGTTCAACACCAAAGTGGCCCATGTTTCTACTGATGTTGCTCATGTTGTTGTTGCTGCTGTTGTTCGAGTTTCTGCTTTGGGTTGTTGTTTTCCTTTTCTGCAACGTTTTCCCCCTCCGTAACATAATATTATGTACTTGTAACATAGTAGTATCCAACGAGCGAACGACCGACCGGCCAACAGCTGTTGGTTGCTTCCTGGGGGCCTACCTAGCCAACCATCGAGCAGAGGCCACTGGTCATCGCCAATAACACGAACACCAATACAACAACAACAATGAAAGTGTTTTCTTTACACTGGGCCAACAAAGGAATTGCATTAAGGCCGCCTGGGTGGTAGGGTCAGGCATTCACCCACCACTTCCAGCAGCATAGATGGACGGATGAATGTTAAACATCTTTTGCAACTTGATGCAGTTGTTGTTGTTAGTGGTGCTAGTGACTGAGGTAGTGGTAGTGATGGTGGCAGTGGACAGTCGATTCTGGTAGCCTTTTGTCTATTCATGTTGTTTAACTAATGCATTTATGATGTGTGTTGGACAGATGTTGTTCTTATTGTGCAACGTTTCTGTATGTGTATGTGAGTGTGTGTGTAACGTAGAACAGGCCTTGTAGCTGTTTGTGGTTGTATTGTGCGTTCGTGTGTGGGTGTGTGTGTGTGCATGCAATGTTCATGTCGCTATATCTACGGCATACATATCCTTTTAGTTGCTAACAAGCAAACCACCATTAGACAAATGCCTGTTATCCTTTGGTCAAACATCAGTCGTAACAACATGAATGTGGGAGCCTACCGCTACCCATCTTCTCGTTCCCTCATTATAACGACCAAGGCTACTTGCTATTTGTATACCCGTTCGGTGACTGTGTCAAAATTAAACATTCCATGAGGGGTGATAATATTATGGACATCTGATGTTTGGCTATTTTGTGTTTATGGAGTTGTAAGCAAAGATGCGTTTTGCGAACAAATTGAGGTTATGGACCAAGCCAAGCGAATGCAAAGCATAGCATCAGAACAGATGCTGTTGCTGTTTCATAATTTTTATGTATTTACGAAAAGGGTTTTGCTTTAATATTCAAGAAATTGTTAAAGACCGTAATATTGCGTTGGAGTGATGGGGAAATTGCCATAAAAATGAAATGTATAGGAGAATAGAATATCGTAATGGATATTAGATTTTAAAAGCTTCAGTGATTTAAATGTTATGAGGTCGTGAATTTCAATCCTGACAATTGTTTAGTAATTTTATAAAAAACAGTGTGGTGAGCAGTATAGTCGGAACGAGCCGGTCATATGATACTCTACACAACTACCATTGAACTCTAGCTTTGCATCTATATTTGAAGCCTGAGCAATATTTCGCGGTATTAGAAAACAGTTATGGCTCATCTTTCTTACCTTGGCATCTTTTCCGAATCACGGTTTATCGGACTGACGATTTTCGCATTTATAAGATGCTAAATATTGTCCGATCAAAATAGTCATTCCAAATAGTTGACATCTGGATCTGGCCATCTTTTTGGAATGAAACTTCTCCTTGTAAAATTTCGTAATTTTCGATTCATATCTGTGGCTTCTAGAGCGACCAGAAAAACAGACAAACATAATTTTTTGTAGGGGTCTTCATTGGCCCGAGTCGGTCTTACATGTAAAACTTCGTAACGAAAGGTCGATAACTATGACCGGTGCTGTGTTTACAAATTATAATAGATAGACCATGTCTAGATCAGCACAGCTAGTCGAGATACGACGATTTGTATATTAAAAGGTGGGTCTAGGGTCAATATTTCACTGCGATACAAACTCTTGGGCCACACAAAGCTATTATACCTTTACAACATAGTTGTGTATCGTATAAAAATTGGCCTGTGAGAAAATGTTGGACCAACAATTTTATTTCTGCATATTTTTTCCTCTGCTGGCCGCAAATGCGATCTGTACACCTTGAAATTTAAATTATCGGAAGTTGGTTATGTGTGGGTATGATGGTAGTGAACGAGGGATATGACGAAGCGGAAACTTTAGTTTTTCTGGTTAACACGAAGGACAATGAAATCATGACCAATCGGTAGGAATCGCACTATCTTCCGAACAAAATTATATGCAGGTATAATAGTGCCACAATATAACGGGGTTTAGTTTGGGAGTTGGGTATGTTGAAGGTTGATTATAAAAAAGAAACTTAGCATTTACGATTTCCTGTGAATATAAAATAATAATGTATATAATGTATTCTATGTCGTAACCAGTGTTGCCAAAACTTTGTTGAAAAAAATGCTAGATTTGGTTTAAAAAATGCTAGAAAGTTTAAAAAAGTGCCAAATAAAAGTGCTAAAAAGTTTATAGAAGGAACTTCGCATATAGCTAATAATGAGATCTTCATCAATATGTTTTGGTGACTTTAGGCACGTTTTTCAACCGAAGTTGATTCAATTTGAAATTTTGGATTGTCATTAGGCAGAAAATCTCCACACCAAGAATGATCTATATTGGTTCGTGTTTCGGGGTCGCATCCAGGGAGCGGGCAGGGACGTTTCAGAGGCTGGCATATATGCAGAAACTTATCAATCTAGGTTAATGTTTGCTCATAGCGCCCATATTAAAGTGCCGACCTATTTTCGGTATTTTGAGGGGTTTATTCGTATTCTCTGGGCTCTGTTAGGGTAGCAAATTTTCAATTTTCTATATTTGGACATGTTCTCAATATAATTTAATTTCTTGGCATAACCCCCATATAAAGTGGAACGCGGCCAATTTCGGTACTATGAAGTTGATATAATTTGACATTCTGGATTCCGGTTGGATAAAATACATCTTTTCAGAAAGTTTACAGTTTAGATTCATGATTTTTACATTACTCCTACACGGAGGCCCGCATACTTTGTCTTTTCTTCATTTCCCAAATAAACAACCTACTAGCAGACAATTTCACAGTCACCATAAGAAGTACCCAAAAATTTAAGAACATTTTTATAAAAATTTCGTGGTGCAAGGAATAAACTGTTCGGCCGGATCGTGTTTCTTTACATGTTCACAGATTTACTGACAGTATTTTTATTGGGAAATCAAACTCATAGCGTGAAACATAAATGAATTTCAATAGGTCTAAATGAAATCGAAAAACGGGAATTTTTCATGAAGCCAAATAGACGGAATATTTTGAAAATATCCTGAAAAAATAAAAATGCTAAAAAAGATGATAGGTACTAGATCAATTTTTTTCCTGCTAAACGAGTTTAAAAAGTGCTAAATCTAGCACTAAAAGTGCCAAATTGGCAACACTGGTCGTAACAGACCTTAACCGTATTAGTTCACCCATTACAATAGCACCGCCGCATTTTTCTAATTTTGAAGGGTTTAGCTTTATTTTTCATACGTGTAAGTAGTTGTAATTTAACATTTTGGATGCTGAGTAACTTATTCGCATACATTTCAGATCCTGCTTAATTTTGAGAACTTTAAAGATCATAGGCTTATTTTAACCTAAATGGCTTTTAATATGCCATTTTGGGTTGTTAGTCGATAGAAAATTTAGATGTGAATACACTTTTAGATATGGAGCCACATAACAATACATTTGTACGTTTCAGCCGCCTTTTCCAACCCAAACGCCTGTAATATTGTGTTCTTGAAGGGTGATAAACATATTTGCAGAAAGATTTCCATGCAGGTC